ACCTGGAGAACTCCCTCTCTAAACTCTGTTAGCACTCACCTGTTTCAAGCTCCTTGGTCGCTTGCCCACTGCCTTATAAAGCCCTTGTTGCCTCATGATCCAAGTTGGAATCTTTGGTGAACTCAGCTCCTTTTTAGCTCATTCCTGTAAGGACAGTGGCGAGCACTCGCTTGTCCCGTCCATCAATGGACTTGAAAACCCATCAGGATCTGCTGAGGTGTATGGCCCAGAGTCTCAACATGCCAATGGAGGAAGTAGTCAGGGTCTCGGATACAATGGAAGACATTTTGGCCACCAAGCACCCTGCAAACATTGTCTTGCCCCTTAAGATCATCCAGGCAACTACTAAGGTGCTAAGGCAGAACCTAGCTTCAATTGCACTTGTGGCCTAGGGGGTTGATGTGGAACTTTGTCCTTCAAAAGGCATACAAACACCTGATAACCCACTCATAGCCAGGGTCACTGGTAACCAGTGCAGTGAACTGTGAGGAGTCCCAAGGCTAAATGGGGTCAGTGCCCAAAAATAGAGGCAAAGTTGCTGGACCTCTTCGGTCACAGGATCTACTCATCCAGGGGGCTCCAGCTCCATGTTTCCCAGGTGGTACAAAGCTGCCACATGTTTAACTCCTAGTATATACTGTCAAAGTTCCAGAAGCTTCTCCCATCCAACTTCTCTATCCAACTTCTACCATACCTAGGCCCAGGTCATCTCGGTTCTCTGGGCCCGAAGCATAGTAGGAATGGGATATTCTATCCAGTTCTTTATCTTCCTGCCTTCTCACCCACCTTCCCTGTCCCTCTTCAGGGGCTCCTCTCATGAGCAACTCCTTATTCAGGAGGTACAATTGCATCTCTCTCAAGGGGCAATAGACAAGGTTCCTCAAGAGCTCCGGGGCAGGTGTTTTTGTTCCTGCTACTTCATTATCCCCAAGGCCAAGGGCCTTCGCCTTACCCTAGACCTGAGGAACTTGAACACATTCATAAAGAAGTTCAGCTTCTCCGTGGCTTCCCTGGCTATCGTCATTTTTTCCCTGGATCTGGGAGACTGGTATACCGCCCTCGACCTCAACAATACATTCTTTCTCCTATCCATCATCCTCCATCCGACAATTCCTCAGATTTGTAGTAGCAGTTCAACGCTATCAGTTCACCTTGCTTCTCCTTGATCTTGCCATGGCCTCTTATGTTTTTATTAGGGCTGTCAATTGAGCTGTGTTAACGCCTGCAATTAACGCAGGACAGGGTTAACCTATTAATTGTTCTAATGCATTAAACATCACAGGTGCATTAATCACTTCAAAGGAAAAGCGCAAATGGAGCTGGGGATCAACTGGAGTCCCCAGCTGATCCCAGGCTTCAGGCAATGCTGCCCCGTTGAAACGCTGCCACGGCATTTCAAAGGGGAGGCACATGCGATTAATCGCGATTAAATTTTTTAATCGCTTGACAGCCCTAGTTTTTTATGAAATTCATGGCAGCGGTGGCAGCCTTCCTGCACAAAAACTGGGTGAAGGTCTTTCCATACTTGGACTACTGGCTTACCAAAGGTAAGTGCAGGGCATAAGTCCTAAAGTGCATAGCAATTGTAAAGTCCATATCTGCACATCTCAGCCTCATTCTAAACACTACCACATTTGTCCCTACATGAAGAATCGAGTTCGTTGGGTGACTGCTTCCCTACCTGATGCATGCTTCCAGACCGTGGTGAGATGATCAATGGCCCCCTTCAGGGCCTGGCCACCACTGTGTGAAACTGAGATTCTTAATCCACATGGCCTCCTGTGTTCGTGCTGCATCATGCCCAGTTATGCCTTTGCCCACTGCAGGCATTGTTAGCATCAGTGTTCAAGATTTCCAGAGACTTTATGAACAGTGCTTGAAAGACATTCCAGGCTGACACACAGTGCGCATGCTTATTCTATCTGTAGAATATAGATAGGGACCCCACACCTTGAAAAACCTCTAGGTACAGGTAAATGTCCATTTCTGGTTTTATGATGAACTTCAGAAGCTATTGCTTTTTGTAGCAACACTGTATGTTGAAAAAACATTGCTATGGGCCATGTGACTGAGATATGGAGGTGTGTGAAAAGCCCCAAATGTAAGTTCTTAAACATGTATCTACTTCCACTATGCATTCATATGACTTGTATGTGTGCCATGTTTGCAGATGCAAGGGCAGACTGCACCTGCTCCAACTCGAGGCACTACCAAGCACAGTGGAGGCAGTGGGGATGATGTTGAGGAAGGAGAAGAGCAAGAGGATATAGGGAATGATGTTGTGGATCTTCTGCCAAGAGCAGAGATTAGGTGAGTTTAGATTCAATAAACAAAGGACTGATTCTGCTGCTACATATTCTAAAATGAGCAACTTTGTATCCTAAGTGTTTTTTCTCTGTTTTGGTTCACTCCTGGCCTTTGAAAGGCAGTCAGAGTTTAAGGTTCATGTGTGGTGCTCTTATAATACAAAATGATACTGAATTTCAGGGATTGCTCTTTTTTTCCTACAGTGATAAGATTACAGATGAATTGGTATCTAAGATCGGGGACAAAAACTGGAAGATCCGAAAGGAGGGTCTGGATGAAGTGACAAGCATCATTAATGATGCCAAATTCATACAGCCAAATATAGGAGAACTTCCAGCTGCCTTGAAGTGTCGTCTCAATGACTCCAATAAAATCTTGGTATGCTATTAAAAATCCTCATGTCTGAAGCAAAGTCCTGTTCTACTCCCTTCAGACTATTATTTAACCCGCTTCCATTCTTTCGTGGATTGGGGACTTAAAAAGTCAATCATTGTTTCATCCATGAAAGATTTTTTTTTATTGAAGTCTGTATATTAGACCATTAAAATAGACAGCTAGTCAATTAATGAAATGGGTCGTTCTAGAGCCTCTATCTGCTATTTCCCAGTTTTTAGAGGCATTTTTATTCACATTGGTATGTAAAGACCCCACAAACAAGAAGGATGATCCAGCTGTCTATGTACAAAATAAGCTATTTAATTTTTAAATTAATAATAAATGCAACACCAGGAGAATAAAAGCCTTTTTTAGGCAAAAGTGACTTTTTACACTGGTATCACTTTAAATCTACGTGAAACACAGCAATAACTTTGCTTATTCATGGTATAAACTATTTCTTGCTATCCTATGGAAGTGAATGTGGGACTAGGCATGGACTCATAGCCCTTCAAGAGATAGTATCGATAAACCTTAATACCACCATCATGTTGCTATTCTGTTTGTAGTTGGGGATGGAGAGTTTGAGTATAAGCACCTAATAATGTGTTCAGTTTAAAAAAAAAAAAAAAAAAATTCTCATCCAGGTTCAACAAACACTGAGCATTCTCCAGCAGTTAGCCACAGCAATGGGCCCAAACATCAGGCAACATGTGAAAAGCCTGGGCATTTCCATCATCACAGTCCTTGGGGACAGTAAGGTAGGTCCTCCTGTCTGTCGTCGTCTTTAGGAGTGCAGGCTCTTCCTCAGTATACTTTACAGTACACTGGGAGCAATCTTCAATGTTTGATTTAAATTGGCCTAGATATTCAGAGGCAGGTGAGCATTTAGATAAGTTTCAGTAGCTTTCTGAATGCCGGGCAGAGCTTTGTCTTCCAAATTACAGTAGTTATCATATCTGAAAATATGAATACTGTCTGTACTGTGGTTAAAATAGTAGCTTACTTGTTCAATGTTTGATGTACAATATAGTTCATCTTTGTATGTATAGTGTGTCCAGCTCTTCATCTTAAATTGATTTTTTCATAAGCTCCACTTATCAGTGTAGAAAATGCTGTCCTAATACTGCTATCCTAGTTCTGCCCATGCGTCCCTGGTCACTTATCAGTGTAGAAAATGCTGTCCTAGTCTGCTATCCTAGTAATGCCCATGCATCCCTGGCTTTTCTTTTTGTCCCCAGTAATTATTTGGCATTCTGGGCTCTGTGGACTCCCTGTAGGCTGGGGAGAAGTCCTTTAGATGCGGGACCTCCCGGAATATAATAGGACTGCTAACCTGAGCTGTTAAGTTGGTTTGCTGTGCAGGAATCTGTGCCAGGCCTAGCTCTCTGGGTAGAGTTATCGCTTATGCTGCTCCAATGTTGGAACATTCCCCCAGGCGATGAGCAGTTTTCTGTACTGTCTTAAGTTGTGAAGAATCCTGCTAACATGGGCCGTCTTGGAATGTGTCTGAAAAAAGAGATCTTAACAGTTCTAAACATGACTCTTTTACAGACACAAGTATTTTTGCATGTTGCTTTGGAGTTTATTTTTGATGTGGCTCTACTTTAAGTTCTGTTTTGAGAGCGAGAAGTGCATTTAATAGATTGAAGTAAATACGATCTAATTTGTTAGAACTTACTTCTACCTTGCCTTTTCCATAAACTCTGATATACTTGAAAAGTGGTGTAAACTAGCAGCTTAAGAGCATGCTGTTGCCCTTCCCTTTTTAGGTGTAATTGGGAAGAATTGGGTCATGCTGCGTGTGATAGCATTCTTCTTGACCTCAGCTGTTATGCGTATACCTGGGTTTTGGCAGTTCATAGAAGTATAGGGCTGGAAGAGACCTCCAGAAGTCCTCTAGTCCAGCTTCCTTTGCTGAGGCAGGACCAAGTAGACTATTCCTGACAGGCATTTATATAATCTGTTCTTAAAAACCTTCAATTATTGTGATTCCACCACCTCCTTTGGAAGCCTAGTCCAGTGCTTAACTATCCTTATAGTTAGACAGGTTACATAGTTTGGAAAATCTTTCTAAGGCTTCCTTGCTGCAGATTCAACCTGTTATCACTTTCCATCTTCAGTGAACTTGGAGAACAATATCACAACTGAAGTATTCTTTATCGCAATCCTTAATATATTTGAAGACTATTGTTAGGTACCTGCTGAATCCCCCCTTTTTTTAAAATATACCCAGTTTTTTAATCTTTTCTTATAGATCAGGGTTTTTTTAATCTTCATCAGTTTTATTGCTGTCTTCTTTCCAGTTTGTCCCTAACTTTCTTAAAGTGTACCATCCAGAATTGGACACAGTAGTCCAGAAGAGCCTGACCAGTACAGAGTAGAAAAGAACAGTTACTTCCGAAATATCATATATATATCACTTGTTTTAATACACCCCAGAATATTAGCTTTTTTTCATAACTGCATCACGTTAGCGTACAGAGTAGAAAAGAACAGTTACTTCTGAAATATCATATGTATCACTTGTTTTAATGCACCCCAGAATATTAGCTTTTTTCATAACTGCATCACGTTAGTTTATATTTAGGGCCCTACCAAATTCAAATCCATTTTGATCAATTTCACTCGCAGGATTTTAAAAATCATGAATTTAAAGATTTTAGCGGTTTTAAATCTGAAATTTCATGGTGTTGTAATTTAAGGTTCCTTGCCCTAGAACGTGTGGAGTGGCGGGGTTAGTGTTTGCTACTTTTATTTCTGTGTTGCTGCTGGCAGCAGTGCTGACTTCAGAGTTTGGCAGCATGGTATCCAGGGTTCCAGCTCTGAAGGCACAACTGTGACTAGCAGCAGTGCACAAGTAAGGATGGCACGATATGGTATTGCCACCATAACTTCTACACGCTATTGGTGAGGCATTTATTTGAGTTGGGTGACCAGCCAACAGTTGCCACTCTTTAGCTGCCCGGCAATGCAGGTGTGACAATACTGCAATCCCCCTATAATAACCTTGCGACACACCCACATACACATTAATTTAAGGCCCTACTCCTATTCAGTTTGTGCTCCACAATAAACTGGCCTACCTCCTGCTCCTTTTCAGTATCTCCTGATCCTGCCTGGATTCATAAACATGATAAACCTGTTTTTATGTTCATATAAATAATTATAACCTCCTTCTTTAGTTCTCTTAGGAGCTGTGGGTTTGAGATTATCCTTTCACTAGGGAGGAGCAGCAGACAAAATGTTCCTATTCCTTTTCTGCATCAGGCTTTAGCTAAACATGGCTGCTGACTAGTGTATTATGCCTATTTTTCAGTAACTTAGCCATGTCTGCTTAGAGTAAGTTGCATTTTGTGATACAGAGACTTGGGTTTCCTGGAAGTGAACAGATGTGAATTCTAGAGTCCTTAGTGCGGGATGATATAATCTTTGATGGAAAGGGTGATCCCAGAATCTCCCCAGTTTCTATATTCTTGCTACAGAACAACGTACGTGCTGCTGCCCTGGCTACTGTGAATGCCTGGACAGAACAGACTGGTATGAAAGAATGGTTGGAAGGAGAGGATCTGTCTGAGGAGCTCAAAAAAGAAAACCCTTTCTTGAGACAAGAGGTAAAGATTGGTACTATGCACCTGAGTTTGTTCTTTATACCATTTGAATGCATCTTAGCCACAGTTTGAGCGCAACTATAGAAATAAAGGGTTGAGGCTAGTGCAGAGTACAGTAACTGAGCACTGTATCATGAGGATAATGTGTAATTCAGTTTGTGTACTGACTTGTAACATTAAATAGGAAAATTTAACAAAGATGGTAAAAGGATTTAAAAAGAGAAATCCTAAAATGTTACTTCTCTCAAAGGAGTCTTCCTTTATTCTTGCAAGCAAAGCTGAGATTTTGGGGTGTTGCCTGAGCCAGGGATGCTGCAAGTACAACTCACTGATCAAGAGTAATTAACTCTGAAATGCTGCCCCATTTTTAACTTGGAGTAGGAGTCATGATGGAGCCTAGCCACTTGAGTCAAATTACTTATATACTGGGATATGTAGTCTTTGTGGGCTGCACTTTAGTGTTTAAGATCTGGGTGGTTGCAAATTGTGACAATCTGAGTCTTGGTGCTCTCAACTAAATCTACACAAATTCTGCTCCTGTAAAAACTGCAGGTGACTCTCTACCACAATGCATATTTCAAACATTAGTTACATTCTAAAAAGCAAAACTAACCTGTGCTATCTCCTTCCAGCTTCTGGGCTGGTTAGCTGACAAGCTGCCTACCCTCCGTTCTGTTCCTTCTGATTTGCTTTTGTGTGTGCCTCACCTGTACTCCTGCCTGGAGGATCGAAATGGAGATGTGCGTAAAAAAGCACAAGATGCCCTGCCATTTTTTATGATGCATCTTGGTTTTGAGAAGATGGCCAAAGCTACTTGCAAGCTGAAGGTATTTTGTTAGACTCTTACCTGAGGAAGAAGGCAGAGTGTAAATGAGCTTGAGTGAAAGTGTGCATAATACCTGTGGCAAAGGTCTGACTCACTAGTGACCTTGTGAATGACTTTGAACCGTATAAGCTCTCGGGAATCACTGCTGATTTCATTTGTGAAATAATTGACCTTCAATGAGTATGACTGAAGCTATTACATGTTCCACATTGCCACTTCTAATTCTCCAAAGCCACTGCTCTTCTGGCTAAAATATCTTGCACACTGCACTTTTAAACTGCAGCCATTTATCTCATGTTCATAGCCTATGGCATGGCATATCTGTATAATAATCTCTTTCTCTCTAGCCAACTTCCAAAGATCAGGTATTGGCCATGCTAGAAAAAGCCAAAGCTATTATGCCAGCCAAACCTGCTGCTCCTGCTAAGACATCTTCCAGAGCGGTAGGAGCAGCTCCAGCCAAATTCCAGTCTGCATCAGGTAATCTATCTCATCATGCTGGATAATGTATTGGAAAGCATCATTTCCTTTGAAAAGAGTAATTGGAAGGCCAATACTGAAACTTCAGTGTTACACTAGTGTGAAAGGTGTGTGTGTAAGACATAGACCCTTTCAGGATAGCTTTGTTTTAAGAAGCATGAAATGAGGATATAGGGGATAAGAATGAGTCTGTAAAGTCTCCTATCAGGTAGTAAGTTGAATGTCAGGGGAAGACAAGTTTCATTTGGGGCAGATGCTTTTCATTGGAATACAGAAGCAAACCAGTTAATCACAGGGTTGTGGTGTGGTACTGGTAAATCACAAGGAAGTCAAGTCATTAAAATTTTTCTACTGTGGAATTAGTCACTACCTAGTCTGAAAAGCTTTTTAAGGACAATTTCCTGTTGGTGAATGGACTCACTTTTGCAAAATATGTTTGAAATCTCTTGTTTCCAAGCACCTGCGGAAGAATCAGGGTCTAGTACTATGGAGAACAAGACTGACCCCAAAAAGGCCAAAGCAGGAGGAGCTGCATCTAAAACTAAGGTACAGTGACACCACCACTCAGACTCATGAGCCAGGTTCTGGTTGGGGATTATTAAAGCTTGATAGTGAAGCACTTAATGCTTTTACAGAGATGGCCTGTGCAAACCTATAAGAATTTTAATGCTTTGAATTGAAATATGCTCTTCATGTCTGTAGTTCTGATTGTGCTCCTATAGTTGTTTTTATTCAGTCCTACTTAATAGGCTTGCCATGGTCTGAAATTCAGATACCGTATATGTGAACTTTTTACTGTAAACCTTCTTGGCTTCTTTTATCTAATATGGTCTGTATTTAAAATGTATCTTGATGAACTGTTTTGTGTACAATTCCAATTCGATAACCTCTAGTTTTAAACAGTAATTTTGAATCCACACACTAGAGAAATTCCCATCTTTAGTCCCCCACATCCAAAGGTATATCTCAGCACAGTGAACAACAGGGATGGTTGAGGATATAGTTGGTTGTACCTGAACTCCCATTAGTGTATCTTTTAAACATTCTGTCAATTTGCTATTGAATTTACCGGAGAAGTGGGGCAGCTCCAGGTATTGGGTGCTACTGAAACTATGACAGTCCAACTAGGTACATATCTGGAACAGGAAAAACATCAGAGGTTAAGTTGTCTTCATAAACCTGCAGCCACTGTATTCCTGCAGCCACTGTAATCCTTCATGTAAACTCTTTCAAATAAACTAGAATGAACACTTTTGAGTGCACAGCAGGCTTGGAGGCTTCAGGTCTAATGGGAGCGATTTAGAGTTGTATGTTGAGTTGTCTAACGATCAAGCCTTTTCTGTGGCCTGTTGCAGCAGTCTGATGGTAATAACAGTATGTCGAAGGGCAATACCAGCCTCTCCAAGGCTAATACAAGCCTCACCAAAGACAGTACCAGTCTGACAAAGAACAAACCCATCAAGCAGGTACCAAGTTAGTTGAGAGCCCTCCTCCCCTTAGGTGATTGGTGCACTGGCCAAGTCTGAAGCGTCCTCTCACCAAAGGCTATTCCATCCACACTTTGCCATGGGTTTTGCTTCCACACCACCAGAGCATGTACCTGAGGATTCTAACCACTTTTAGCAGCTTCTACTTGGGTCTCATACACATGACTAGCATGAGGTCGGGGTACTGTCTGTCTGTCATCACTTGGAATGAAGGGTTGTGTATAGATTTTTGCAGTGGTTTCTGCTCAGTACCACTTCTACTTTTTCAGGGTACGCAAGGGAAGAAGGTACCAAGCAAGCCCAACCTGAAAGAAGATGACGACAGATCAGGTCCTATTTTTATTATAGTCCCAAATGGGAAAGAACAGAGAATGAAAGATGAGAAAGGATTGAAGGTAAGAGGGAGCTTAAGAGCATGCTCAGTTATACAGATTTAGGCCATAAAGGAAGTACATTCTATTACCTATGAGCTTAAAGTTACACCTTATGTACAATAAGAATCCAATCTTCATTTGATACTTCTAAGCTAAGGACCAAATATTATAGGCTATTGACAAGGTCTTCGGTCTCTGTAAGAAAGCAAAAACTGTTTCCTAAGAAGTAGCAGAAGCCTAATTGCTTTAGCGCACACTTAAAACTAGATTGGACCAAATAAAAAGTACAATATGTAACAAACCTGGCCATGCTCTGGGAGATGGACAAGGTGACCTAAGAGACTCCATAGCTTTTATTTCTTTATTCTAAGAATAAAGCTCCATAGCTTTTATTTCTTTATTCTATTTAGTCTATCTATTGCCAGACTTTTCTCCTAACAAATCTTAATTTGCAGACTTTCTTTGGAAACCTATACTTTCTCAATTCTCTGATAATGGTTGTGCCTCCAAGTGGTTTATATGGGTACATATCCATAGACCTGGTTTAAAAATGAGGTGTTTTGACTTGGACAACCTACAGTATTAACACTAACTTGCTTTTGCAAAATATGTTTGAAATCTCTTGTTTCCAAGCACCTGCGGAAGAATCAGGGTCTAGTACTATGGAGAACAAGACTGACCCCAAAAAGGCCAAAGCAGGAGGAGCTGCATCTAAAACTAAGGTACAGTGACACCACCACTCAGACTCATGAGCCAGGTTCTGGTTGGGGATTATTAAAGCTTGATAGTGAAGCACTTAATGCTTTTACAGAGATGGCCTGTGCAAACCTATAAGAATTTTAATGCTTTGAATTGAAATATGCTCTTCGTGTCTGTAGTTCTGATTGTGCTCCTATAGTTGTTTTTATTCAGTCCTACTTAATAGGCTTGCCATGGTCTGAAATTCAGATAACTGGGTCTTGAACTTTTTACTGTAAACCTTCTTGGCTTCTTTTATCTAATATGGTCTGTATTTAAAATGTATCTTGATGAACTGTTTTGTCTACAATTCCAATTCGATAACCTCTAGTTTTAAACAGTAATTTTGAATCCACACACTAGAGAAATTCCCATCTTTAGTCCCCCACATCCAAAGGTATATCTCAGCACAGTGAACAACAGGGATGGTTGAGGATATAGTTGGTTGTACCTGAACTCCCATTAGTGTATCTTTTAAACATTCTGTCAATTTGCTATTGAATTTACCGGAGAAGTGGGGCAGCTCCAGGTATTGGGTGCTACTGAAACTATGACAGTCCAACTAGGTACATATCTGGAACAGGAAAAACATCAGAGGTTAAGTTGTCTTCATAAACCTGCAGCCACTGTATTCCTGCAGCCACTGTAATCCTTCATGTAAACTCTTTCAAATAAACTAGAATGAACACTTTTGAGTGCACAGCAGGCTTGGAGGCTTCAGGTCTAATGGGAGCGATTTAGAGTTGTATGTTGAGTTGTCTAACGATCAAGCCTTTTCTGTGGCCTGTTGCAGCAGTCTGATGGTAATAACAGTATGTCGAAGGGCAATACCAGCCTCTCCAAGGCTAATACAAGCCTCACCAAAGACAGTACCAGTCTGACAAAGAACAAACCCATCAAGCAGGTACCAAGTTAGTTGAGAGCCCTCCTCCCCTTAGGTGATTGGTGCACTGGCCAAGTCTGAAGCGTCCTCTCACCAAAGGCTATTCCATCCACACTTTGCCATGGGTTTTGCTTCCACACCACCAGAGCATGTACCTGAGGATTCTAACCACTTTTAGCAGCTTCTACTTGGGTCTCATACACATGACTAGCATGAGGTCGGGGTACTGTCTGTCTGTCATCACTTGGAATGAAGGGTTGTGTATAGATTTTTGCAGTGGTTTCTGCTCAGTACCACTTCTACTTTTTCAGGGTACGCAAGGGAAGAAGGTACCAAGCAAGCCCAACCTGAAAGAAGATGACGACAGATCAGGTCCTATTTTTATTATAGTCCCAAATGGGAAAGAACAGAGAATGAAAGATGAGAAAGGATTGAAGGTAAGAGGGAGCTTAAGAGCATGCTCAGTTATACAGATTTAGGCCATAAAGGAAGTACATTCTATTACCTATGAGCTTAAAGTTACACCTTATGTACAATAAGAATCCAATCTTCATTTGATACTTCTAAGCTAAGGACCAAATATTATAGGCTATTGACAAGGTCTTCGGTCTCTGTAAGAAAGCAAAAACTGTTTCCTAAGAAGTAGCAGAAGCCTAATTGCTTTAGCGCACACTTAAAACTAGATTGGACCAAATAAAAAGTACAATATGTAACAAACCTGGCCATGCTCTGGGAGATGGACAAGGTGACCTAAGAGACTCCATAGCTTTTATTTCTTTATTCTAAGAATAAAGCTCCATAGCTTTTATTTCTTTATTCTATTTAGTCTATCTATTGCCAGACTTTTCTCCTAACAAATCTTAATTTGCAGACTTTCTTTGGAAACCTATACTTTCTCAATTCTCTGATAATGGTTGTGCCTCCAAGTGGTTTATATGGGTACATATCCATAGACCTGGTTTAAAAATGAGGTGTTTTGACTTGGACAACCTACAGTATTAACACTAACTTGCTTTCAAATGCACTGAATCGAAACACGTGCATTTTTTTTGGTGGGAGGAGGGAACTTGGACAACCTACAGTATTAACACTAGATTCAGTGCATTTGAAAGCAAGTTAAACACATGCATTTTTTTGGTGGGAGGAGGGCATTTGGAATTCTCTGAACCTGTTCTATCAACTCAGTAACAAGTAGTATATTGCTAGCCTTGAGTTACAAGTACTCTTTTTTTGTTTCTTGTTTTATAGGTGCTGAAGTGGAACTTTACTACCCCCCGTGATGAATATATAGAGCAGCTAAAGACTCAGATGTCCACCTGTGTTGCTCGATGGCTACAGGATGAGATGTTTCATACAGATTTTCAGCACCACAACAAGGCACTGGCTGTGATGGTAGAGGTGAGTCAACAATAAAACATTGGATGTCCTTTGCCATGTTCAACTATTACAGCAGTGTAAAATCAAGTTAGGAGTTCTTTCTAAGTGGGCAGTAAGTTGAGTCTTCATGGTACTGTTTTGAGCACACAGTTCTCAAGTTAAAAGCCTTTAAGAGGACACTTTCAGAAGAACAATACAACTTAGTATTAATCTCTTTTGCTGAGGGAAGGGGGATGCTGCTGCTCTGAATTTGATTAGTGAAATCTAGTAGCAAGTGGGACAGTTAAGAACCTAAAAACAGCTATACTGGGTCAGACCAAACGTCCATCCAGCCCAGTCGAACAATAGTTGCCAATGCCAGGTGTCCCAAAGGGATTGAACAAAATAGGTAATCCCCAAGAGATCTATCCCCTGTCACCCTTTCCCAACTTCTGATAAACAGAGGCTAGGGACATCATTCCTGCCCATTCTGGCTAATAGCTGTTGATCAACCTATCTTCCATTAACTTATCTAGTTCTTTTTTGAATCCTGTTCAAGTCCTGGTCTCTACAACATTCTCTGGCAAGGAGTTCCACAGGTTGACTGGTCAGTACTAAAGAGAGTTCCTTTGGTTTGGTTTGAACCTACCTATTAATTTCATTTCATAATCCCTAGTTCTTGTGTTATGGGAACAGGGAAAAAAATTATTTACTTATTTTACTTTCTCTACACCAATCATTTTATAGACCTTTCATATCTGCTCCTCCCTCCCCATCTCCTCTTTTCTAAGCTTAAAAAGTCCTAGTTTTTATTAATCTCTTCTATACGGTAGCCATTCCATATCCCTAATCATTTTTGTTGCCCTATTCTGAACAGTTTCCAATGCCAAGAGATTTTTTTTACCTAATCATTTTTGTTGCCCTATTCTGAACAGTTTCCAAGAGATTTTTTTTTAGATGAGTCATGGAGTATTCAAGATGTGGGCATACCAAGGATTTATATAGAGGCAGTAAGATATTCTCTCTGCCCTTTTTAATTCATAACATTCTGATTGCTTTTTTTAACTTCTATTCCACATTGAGTAGATGTTTTCAGAGAACTATTCACAGTAACGCTAAGATCTCTCTCGAGTGGTAATAGCTAATTTATTCTCCATTTTATACATATAGTTAGGATTATGTTTTCTAATATGTATTTTTTTGCATTTATCAGCATTAAAATTCACCTGTCATTTTTGTTCCCCAGTAACCTAGTTTTGTGAGATCCTTTTCAAGCTCTTCAGTCTGCTTTGGACTTTCCTATCTTGAGCAGTTTAGCATGAGTTGCAAATTTTGCCACCTCACTGTTTACCCCTTTCTCTCTCTCATTTATGAATATGTTGAAGAGGATTGGTCCCAGTGCAGACTTCTGTGGAACACCACTAGTTCTCTTTCCATTCTGAAAATTGATAATTGATTTCTACCTTTTATTTCCTCACTTTTAACCAGTTATCAATCAACAAGAGGTCTTTCCCTCCTTATTCCATGCCAGGTTATATTGCTTAAGGGCCTTTAGTGAGAGACATTATCAAAGAGTTTCTGAAAATCTAAGTACACTACATCTGTTAGATGCCCCCTCTCCCCCCACCCCATCCACATGCCTATTGATCCCTTCAAGGAATTCTAGTAGATTGTTGAGGCATGATTTCCCTTCACAGAAACAATGTTGACTTCTCTCAACCGATTATGTTCATGTATATGTTTGACAATTCTGTTTTTAGTATAATTTCAACCACTCTGCCCAGTACTAAAGTTAGACTTACCAGCCTGGAATTGCTAGGATCACCCCTGAACCCTTTTTAAAAATTGGCATCACATTAGCTATCCTTCAGTCATTACACACAGAAGATGATTTGAAGGATAGATTACAAACCACAGTTAGTAGTTCTGCAATTTTCACATTTCCATATAAGCACTTTAAAAACACTGCATTGTTTAGCTGTCAGCCATTACTTGATGTGACTTGATGGACTCAGTTTCGTTTGACTGTTTCTCATCAGATCTTTCCAGTTTTTTTAATCATCTTTCATCCTCTCCTCTTCCTCCTAGGGCATAGAGAATCTCTAATAGAGCCTCCCCTAAGAGATGTGTCTGTCTGATCCATGTGTTCCTCTGCACTGGTCAGCTTCCCTCAGCCTTTAGTTTAAAAAATGGTCTACGAGCTTTCTGATTTTAAGTGCCAGCAATCTGATTCCATTTTGATTTAGGTGGAGCCCACCCTTCCTGTATAGGCTTCCCCTTTTCCCAAAAGTTTTCCAAATTTACAGTAAATCTAAACCCTTCCTCCTTACACCATCTCATCCACACAATGAGATCCTGCAGTTCTGCCTGTCCACTTGATCCTGCACATGGACCTTGAAGCATTTCAGAGAATGCTACCATAGAGGTCCTAGATTTCAGTCTTTCCTAGCAGCCTAAATTTTGGCCTCTAGGATCTCTCTCATATCCTTTCCGGTGTCATTGATATCTACATGTCCCACAACTGCTGTCTCCTCCCCAGCACTACACATACACCTAACTAGATGTCTCAAGATATCCACAACTTTGCACCAGGCAGGCAAGTCCCACACAATTTTCCTGGTCATCGCCAACCCAACTGTCTGTTTTTAATAATTGAATCCCTTTTTACTAACAGTATCAGAGGGATAGCCGTGTTAGTCTGAATCTGCAAAAGCGACGAGGAGTCCTGTGGCACCTTATAGACTAACTGAAGTGTAGGAGCATAAGCTTTCGAGGGCAAAGACCCACTTCGTCAGATGCATGTATCTTACTACATGCATCTGAAGAAGTGGGTCTTTGCCCTCGAAAGCTTATGCTCCTACACTTCAGTTAGTCTATAAGGTGCCACAGGACTCCTCGTCGCTTTTACTAATAGCTATCTTTTACTATCACCTGTCTTTTTCTAACAACTGGATTTCCCTCATCCAGAGAGGATATCACAACATCATCTGGAAGGAGAGTCCCAACTATGGGCTCATTTCTCCTTCTCTGATCCTTTCACCCTCCTCATCAGCACAGAGGCTGTCTGACCAGGAGTGGGACTGTTCTACTGTGTCTTGGAAAGTCTCATCTGTATACCTCTCTGCTTCCCTTAGCTCCTCCAAATCAGCAACTCTGGTCTCTAATAAATTAGGTGATTTTTGGTTTCAGCTTTCACTAAAGAATGCTGACTATATCTAGCCTTGTCTAAACTTCCCCTCTAAACTCCCTCATAATAGTCCTCTATTAGCTACTCCTGTATGCTAGCTCCTCGGGTAAGTTAAGAATGGGCTTTTTATAACCCTGGCCTTTCTGAGTAGCCTCTTCCTTTCCCTTCCCTCCTCTCCTCTCCCCTCCCCCCACTCAGTTAAGGCTTGATGGGTGAGAAAGGGATTAGGTATCAAAGCCTCACTACAAAGCTTTGAACCTTGCCTAGCAGTCCACTAGCCTTAGCTCACGTACCTCTACACAAGTTCAGCACACAGTATCTTTCAGGCAAGGAGCAAATTGGTTAGTGTTTAATTGAGGGGATCTCACTAAAGGCTTATGAATCGCTACAACAGGAAGCCACCACCTATAAATACATTATCCTGGGTCAGACATTTTTTTTATTATACTTTGCCCTTTCCCTCACCATTGTTCCCTGGGCCGTTCCATTTATGTATTTTGATCCTACACAGCCTGATACATTTTTTCCCTTACATTCCAAGCACTTGGAGAGTGAAAAAGATGGCGTCATCAGCTGCCTGGATCTGATCTTGAAGTGGCTCACCCTACGGTTCTTTGATACCAACACAAGTGTTCTGATGAAGGCCCTTGAGTACCTTAAATTGCTTTTCACCTTGTTGAGGCAAGAAGAGTATCACCTTACTGAGAACGAGGCATCCTCTTTCATCCCATATCTTATCCTGAAGGTATTACATCCCGAGGGAAATTGATATGATGTGTCCCTGGACACTAGCTAATGCTGTAGTTATTCTGTTCTGTACTGCTTTGCGGAAGTTGCTTTTGAATAGCAAGGGTGTGTATGTAGTTGGGTTTTTGAGTGTACACCTGGTATCATGGCAGATTAACTGGTACAGTATGCTGATGGATGGCATGGAGTGTTTAAAAGCATTTGTCCTGCTTTCTTTTCTCTCTGATCATCATCCTCCTCTTTTCCTCCCAGGTTGGGGAACCGAAAGATGTTATCCGCAAAGATGTGCGTGCCATCCTGAATAGGATGTGCTTGATCTATCCAGCCAGCAAGATGTTCACTTTCATCATGGAGGGAACAAAGTCCAAAAACTCCAAACAGCGGGCAGGTAAGGAATAACATTATTTGCCTGCAGAACTTGTGGCATTCCATTGTACACATCAGACTCATTTCAGAATGTACTATGGGTCAGGATATACTGACAACACTTTTTCTGAAGTCTGAGTGTTTTGCTTACCCCTGATATTTTCCCCCTTTACTAACATGCACGCTCCCTGCCTGAGCCATAAACAGTATGTCTCAAGCAGATTCACTGTTGTCTCTGACAGATCTGCCAATAAGAGTGATTAGGAAAAAGTGTTAATCACTTTTGTCTAACCCAACATCACACATGCACAAATGGTTAAACTGTGCAGCTTTCATTGATTTACCTTCCTACCAGTTGCTCTGTTCCTATCCTGAAGTATTATGGAAAACAAATGAACCTTTCATACTGCAGAACTGCCTCAAATCAACCCTTCCCCCACCATAGAACCGTGCATTGGATTTGCAGCTTCACTTAAAGAGTTTAGCCCCTGGTTGTGAAGAGAACTTTTGGAATATAAGTAGTGGAAGGTTGTGTTTGAGAATCTGCCAGCAACCTGAAACAGCTGTATGAACTGTCCCTATTTATCTCTTTGTGATCAACTAATTATTACTTTAGTGATAAATGGTAGAAATTATTTCACTGCTACTCATTTTATCAGAAACATTAATGTGAATATGGAGGGCAAAATTTGGGTGGGGGACTGAGGCAACTGGCTTCTGTTGAGTTGCTGGATAGCAAATGGAAAACTCAAGCACCCTTCGAAACTAAGTCCTCTCTAACTCTGCCCACTGCATAAAGGGAATTTTTGGATTGTCACCAAACTGAGCACTTAGGGTATGTCTAGACTACATGGCTCCGTTGACAGAGCCATGTAGATGAGTTTACTAGACATAGGAAAATGAAGCAGCGATTTAAATAATCGCCGCTTCATTTACATCAAAATGGCCCCTGTGCTGTGCCGATCAGCTGCTTGGCAGCACAGCATGGTAGTCTGGATGCTCCGCGGTCGAAGAAGGAAGCCTTTGTTGACCGCTCAGGTAAACCTCATTTCACGAGGCATAACGGAGCGGTTGATAAAGGCTTCCCTCTTCGACCGCAGAGCATCCAGACCACCGTGCTGTGCTACCAAGCAGCTGATCAGCACAGCGTGGTGGCCATTTTGATGTAAATGAAGTGGCGATTATTTAAATCGCTGCTTCATTTTCCTATGTCTAGTAAACTCATCTACATGGCTCTGTTGATGGAGCCATGTAGTCTAGACATACCCTTGAATGCCAGACACCAGAGGCATTGCAACAGAATATAGATTTAGGTCACTGCAGAGTATATTGAAATGGGGCACTTGTCTATTTAACTATCTTGGTTGAGTGTCAATTAAAAAAATCTGTTTCTGATCCCTTAGAGTGCCTCGAAGAGCTGGGGTGTCTTGTTGAGTCATATGGCATGAATGTGTGCCAGCCAACTCCTGGCAAAGCATTAAAGGAGATGGCGACTCATATTGGTGACAGGGACAACACTGTTCGCAATGCTGCACTCAACACCATCGTGACTGTCTACAATGTTCACGGGGACCAAGTTTTCAAGCTAATTGGAAACGTGAGTGAATGGAAATGGGAGGAGGTAGCCTGAACTAGCTTTTTATCTTGTGTAAGGGAATCTTTCACACTGAAATGGGTATTGATCAATCATGGCACATCCTGCTACCGATAGTGGAATAGATGCCAAGAGCTGTATTTATGGTGTCAGAGTTTGTCTACCGTAACGCTTCATTTAAAAGTTAATTGATGCCAAGAGCTGTATTTATGGTGTCAGTTTGTCTACCGTAACGCTTTATTTAAAAGTTAATTGATTAGAGGTCCTATAATGTGGAATTAATCTCCAGTAACAATAGGTGGCAAACTAGTATATTGAAGGAATAAGTGGTGATTGTAATTCCTTCATAGAGGACTGTATTGTTTGTAGTGTGATCTGCTTTAGAATGATGTTATGCTACTGGGTGATTTTGGAGGAACCTTGGATGAAGTTCTACACCTTTTAGTGTATTCCAAATGAGGGATAAAACCAGCTGCAGCAATTCTTGTCTTGCTGGCTTATTTTTTAAATGGAAATTCATTTAATCTAACATTTCACTCTAGCCCAGTTATTTCTATTGATGCAAGACTCATTCAGTTTCCCTTGGCTCCTTTTGAGTGCACCAACTCATTCTATACTTTCAATGGACTGTGGTTGGCATCCCTTGCTCTTCCAGTGCCTATGGCCCCTCATAGCTCTGTCAGTGCACCTCAGTCATGACTTGCATCATCTGTTGCAGGGGGCTGGTAGGGGAAGAGGGTTATTAGAGACAATATTCTGTCTCGTGCTTCAAGTTACTGAAACTATGTAGTAAAGCAATAATGTAAAACAACCATTATAAAAATTCCGCTAACAAATCTAGGATGAAATTTCAAAATTGTGTCTTTAGTGGCAAGAACAACAGATGGGGGGCTTGGAAACCCTCTGTTCTGTTCCCAACTCTAGCCAGCCAGCCAGCATCATCTTTGGCCCAAGTCACATAGCAAATATCTGAGAGAGAAATGCAATCTTCTATAGTGAAGAATGTTTTCTTCATGGAGTTCTACTTAGAAGAGAACTGTAAGAGCGAGGTAGTATTGTCATTACTTGGCCCCAGTAGCATTGCAACTGCATTTCTACATAATAACAATTGCCTTGGTGACCATTAACTCCTAAAATTTGTCCTTTTTTTTAAAAAACCACTTTTTTTTAAAACAGAGCTTTTCCAGAAAGAATTCAGCAAAAGTTGGTCACATGAAAACCAGGGAATAGTTAAGGTGTGTGGTGATGGAACCTTAACTCTGCCTCTTCAAGCAATGTCCCACTATGTCTATAACATACACATGTGCTGTATTGAACAGGAGCTACTTACACTTGAACCTTTAGCCTACTTCATAAAAAGAACATCACTTTGGCTAAATTTTACAGCACCTTCACTTTTGTGCTTAATACCATCTAATGCTAGCTATACTTCCATTTATCCTTCATTAAATTCAGTTCACACTTATCTCCTCCTACCTAACTGCTCAATCCCCACGGCAAGTAGACCCCAGTACTACATTGCTGATGCAATGCAGTGCTGAAATGAGACCTAGTGTATCTCTCAAGGCCCTTATTAGGGATGTCAGCTATCGTTTAGTTGAATTGTCATGTAACAGCATGAAATCTTAGCATAACTATTTGATAGATCCTGGGGTGGAGCCAGCAGCTAGTGCGCTCCCAACCCCACTCCCGGGGAACCCCCTGTTATCCTTTGTTGCTGATTCTCTATCAGAGGCAGCAGTGTGGATTGGCGTGCGGGAGTTGGTCTGCCGGGAGAGCCAGCTGAAAAATCCGCTCCCTGTGCAGACAGAATGCCTGCCACCTGGCACTATTGCCTCGGATACAGAGGTGGCAGACCGGGGTGCTGTTGGGGACCAACCTCTGAAGGGGGCTCAGACCTCCTGGAGACAGAGGGTGCTGCCAAAGATCAACCTCAGTCCATGACAAGCCCGGGCCATTACTGACAGGCTGCTGTATCTGATAGAGGCAGCAGTGTTGGGGCAGATGGGTCCACAGAGCCAGCGCACAGGAGGAGAGTGCTTCAAATCTGGCTTTCCACGAGTATTGGCTCCAGCCTGCCCCCTCACCTTCCGCACTGCTGCCGCTCTATCTGAGGCAGCAGAGTGGGGGGTGATAGAGGTGGATCCAGTGCTCATGAGGAATCATCTTTAAAGCCAGATCCTCGCAGGCACTGGCTCCTGCTTCCCCCATTGCTGCCTCTGATACTCCTCCTCCCCCAACCCTTACTCTGTGTGAGTGCATGTAGTCGACCAGATTAACCAATTAGCCAGGGTTTATTGGTTAATCATGTAGTAGACTGCACATTGACATCCCTAGTCCTTATCCACCTCTTCTGACCCCTGTGTGAGCCAAAGGTGCTTCTATACATATCCAAAAGTTAACAGTCCTTCCAAGTTGCTCCAACTGTTTCTTCCACTTGTCAGTGTATTTACACAGTGAATGCAGCAGGAGGGCATGCAGATAATTCTGAATGACTTATGACTATATCCAGGCTTGTAGGGGATGGGTTGTGAACATATAGTTGCTTGAACATGCACCTTAGTTCCTCACTTCCTGGTTTTCACAAATTCAGATTTTGATGAACTTGATATTCTGAAAGAGCATGAAATACCACAAGGTAATTTTGATACCCCATTAAGTTTTTTGTTGCCAGGGTTTCCCCATTCTATATAACTAAAAAGGTTTGTGGTTTGGCATTGAGACCTCTCCCTATGAATTATACCATTCTAATTGGCATTCCCCCTCAGATGGTATTTCTAAAGCAATTAAAACATGGAATAGATTGGTATACCAGTGTCAGTGTCTGCACTGTTAGTTGTGCACACTCTGAGGAATTCAGTATTTCACAAGTGTTTGGAGGTCCTATAGGAAGAATGTTATGAGGTGGGCGCCAATCTGCTGCTGCTACCTCTCCCATCTGCTCCTCAGCCTAGTCAATAATAAGGTATTCAAATAAATGTGTTTTGCTTCGGTCACTTATCCCTGGTAATTTTGCTTCCTATGTGAATCAGCTACACTGAAGTTCTCCTACTTTCCCTCCTTTTTGCTTATCCGTTAGTATTTTGAACTACTCCTTGGAATGAGCAGTTGGTTGACTATGCAGAAACAATCTTGAAGTCATCTCTTCTTACTCAAAAGCTCTATTCTCAGAACAACAGGGTTTAGCAGAAAATTGAATTTGCTGGACCTTTCAGCTTCTTAACCTTGGCTTTGCATGGTCAGTGCCCCCAGGGTGGCTGCTTGTGCAATCTTAAAAAGTCCTGCATTTTTAGAGGTGTCCCAAAGTTCAGTGAAGTGGAGAATGCATCTGACAAATGTGAGCATGCAGAAGCAACAATTTATCTGATAATAGTTCCTAGTAAGTAACTTCTTTTCCTGAATCCTTTTAAGTTTTAATAAACTTAAGTCTTATCACTAGAAGATATGGAAGCCAAGCTCCTTTAAGCTAACCTCAGCTTGAATTATTCACACTTGATAAGTCCTCATTAACCACTCCAAGGTAAGAGGGCACCTCTCTTTGTAGGAAGCTGTCAGCACTGCCTGTACTTCTGTCTGGGATCTTGAGTGTGCTTTTATAATTCTCCATCTTGTCTTGCAGGGGTTCCCTTTGCTAAAACTTAATTTGTATACTGTATCTTCTAGCTGTAACGTCTTAACCATGAAAACATTAATTTGGATGACACTTCCCACAGATTCTACCATACTGTGGTTAGTCCTATTCAGGGCCTTAGGTTGCTGGTCTGTTTAGCCTCCCTCTTTTTATCCCATAGCACTATACAGTAACTACAAATAAATGGTGAGACTGTGTACATCATTGATGGCAACTGCAATTCCTGAAACATCTACAATTTGTAGATTGAACTGAAAAGTTGCCTTTCTCTCCCAGCTTTCTGAGAAAGACATGAGCATGCTGGAGGAGAGAATAAAGCGGTCTGCTAAGAGACCAGCTGCCGCTCCAGCAAGGCAGGCAGAAGAGAAACCTCAGCGTGTTCAGAGCACTAATGCTAATACTAGCGTGCTTCGGAAGGGACCGGCTGAGGACATATCTTCCAAACTCAAGTATGTAATGAAATAGTTATGATGATCTATGGCTTCTGCAATGTATGTGCTAAGAACATGGTCCGCAGTGTTTCCTTTGTTGTAGTCATTGTCTTTGCATGTTGTGAAAACTGGGCAGATAATGTTAAAGTATTTGAACCTTTTTTCATTGTTTTGTCTTGTCTGTCTGTCTTGAATCCTTTCTAAATGGTCTTGTGCCTTCTTTCACTGCTTCTCCATGGACAGAATTATGTATCGCACTTATAGGATGTAAGTACTGTCCACTAACTCCTTGGTAGCAGGGCTCTTGTATCTCTAACTTCTGACTTAGTCACAGAGAGGATGATTGACTTATGTAGACCAGTTCTAGGTACTTGTAAATAACTTAGAGTAAAATGGCAAGAATAGAGAGCATCTACCAAGAGCAACTATGAGCCAAACTGCTAGCAGACATGGCAATTCCATGCTGGGCAGCTGCTGGAATTAGTGGGAGAACTCATTCCCATGTGTTGCATTAAACTTGGTATTGATTGGACTCTATTCTTAATTTGGTAGGGCCAGTGTAAAGAGGCCAGCTGGATGAGCATTTTGAATCTGAGTTTGGGGATACCTATACCACAAACAAAGCTCAGTAATTGCATCTTATGCCATGTGTCAGTGTATTGGATCATTCTGATTTTTTTTTTTTTTTTTTTTTTTTGGATCATTTTGATTTTTTTTTAAGACCCACAGTGAAATTTATGTAATAGAGATTAAATTCCCTTTCTAAGATGCAAGTGTTTCAGGACCTTAGGGGGGAGTCTTGGATGCTCACTGGATTGTCACATTGCTAATTCAGTTAATGTACCTTTCCTTAACCACGTGAGAGAAGACCTGAGCTTCAGTAATATGTTCAGTCAATGCCGTCTTTGGTGGTATTGGATCTCAGTCATGTGGAGGAATGCATGCTTGTCACAACTTCAGTGTGACTTAAAGGGTTTATGGGGAAACCAGCAGCTTCTCAGGTGAATTATGAAAGTAAGTACCGTGTATTCCGGCGTACAAGACGACTTTTGATGTTAAAAAACATCCCCCAAAAATCGGCTTTGCAAAGCCTCGGGGGAAGCCGGCGGCGGGGCAGCCCAGGAGCGCCTGGGCTG